ATCGGAAGTTCAAGGACTTTCAGATAGATGGCTCACCTTTGGCCTATGTATTCTCACGTGAAAGCCACTTCAGCAAAACTCAGGAGTCCAATTCAGCTTTGCTGTAACTGGTCATGACTCTCTTGACTTCAGCAATGCTTCAAATGCTTACACCAGGTCTGAATTTATCCCTATGGCTTCTCGGTCACTAGTCCTCCCTCCCACCTCAGAAACTGCCTACATAATAAAAGTGATTCATTACAAACCACTGGGTTCCAAAGCAGAGTGAACACTGAGACCTATAACTTTTTGATATGTGCTCAGTCATAAAAATGAATTTATATGGTCTTATTCCATAAACTCACTTTACAAATATTAGACCTGCAACCATACTTCCGTGAGCTGTATTTTGTCAAAGCTCCTAAGTTAAGAAAGGTCAGAATTGGTCAATATTTGGATGAGAATCTCCGGGGGGGGAAGAAAAGAAGGAGGAAAGAAAAAAAAACAAACTCCAAACAGTATATACTTGGGAGGTCCTGCAGTATTTGTCAGTTAGGACTTACCGTGCTCCTCTTTAAAAGGATTTGGTGTTAGTCTTAAAATACAACAAAATATTGTATTTGCTTTAGCAAGAGTTGAGACTCTGATCACATCTGCGATGCATCTTGACTGTTTCAGACAGCATTCCTTCTCAGAGATGAAGGTGGTGTAGCAGATGAAGTCCTCCCCCCCCCCTTCAACCTAGGAGGTAGATCTACCACCAAATGCCTCCACTGCTACTCAGCACCCTCTCCATGAAGGGGTTTGCTGCTATTTCTACTATTTCTGCATTCTCTATGCTTTATCTAGCAAAATATACCTAAGAAATACATCTCTAGACCCAAGGGGGGAGGGGGGGGCGACAAACAAAAAAACCCTATTCTCCCCTCCCTCCCTCCTCCCATAAATAGCTTCTTCTGAACATCTCATGCTCTTCCCCTTTTGAGCTCTTCCTTCAGGCAGCCCTGCCCTTCTCCCAGGTGCGCACAATGTGAAGGCTGAAGTGCCTTTAACGGTTTCTTGTACTGGATGAGCTTATTTGTAAGAGGAGCCATAACTTGTGGAAGGTTACACTGCGGGCAGAGCAGTACATAGTCACAAAAAGACACCTAAATTATTGAAGGTGGTAAGAAAAAGCCAGTGCTATACAGTAACTTTCTGAAAAACAGCTTAGTCACGCATCTGAGGTAATACATGGATGCAGAAGGGAACTGCAAACCTGTCTGGCTTTTCCTAACGCCGGAGCACACAGCCACTGACATGACCACTCTTCCAGCACCCTTTATTACTCTGCAATTAAGAACAGCTTTTACAGCAAAGGGGATGAAATGCGAAAGGTCACCAGTCCTGTACCTATTGCTGTGTAGCCAGGCAGCTGCACTGCAGTGGAAGAACTGCAAGTGGGCATTAAGGTCCCAGACAGAGGGACGGGAACTACCTCCCCCCCAGCAGGGCTTGCCTCACCCACCATGCACTGCTGGCTCACAGCCTGCCTCCACACCAAGGAGGGACGAGGGAAAGGGGCATTTCTGAAGCTACGAGTTTATGTGGTGGTATCCCATGTCAAACAGCTGTTGAAGTCTAAGCCTCTTCCTACTAAAGCAAGTGATAAATTAGGGGTTAAGAAGCTGCATACAAAATTAGTCAGATCACTAGCAAAGCCATTCATATGAGACATATCAAAAACAGTGGCATGGAGGAGCAGTACATCAGGGGTTTTCGCACAATAAAATGGAAAGTAAAAAGTGCAGCCACGAGGTAGAGGGCCCTGAGTAGGCTACAGCCAAATAAACTTAAATAGCTTTGGGAATAAATTGGTGGTTTAATCCGGATCAGGAACAGGTGCTATGAATGTAATTCAGTAAATGGTCGAGAGCCTGCCAGAAGGGAGAGAAATGTGTTGCTTTTGAGATAATTTCCCAGAAGCTTCATAAAAGAAAATTGATTACTGGAGTTTAATAATTAAAACAGGGCCAGATATATAGTAATCAAATTAGTTTTTAATTACATCTCAAGCAGAAATAAAATCCAATTTGTGTACTTTGTATCAGAAAAGTCCTACTGAAATGCTTTGGTAGCTGGAAAAAATAAAATAACAGCTAATTTCCATAGGAATTATAGTAGTTGGTTTAATTAAAAGACTAGATCAGAATGAAAGAGTCCCAAAGTGAAAGGATACTAAATACAGAAGCAGTGGTTTAAACATCAAATCAATGTCTGAATAAAGACATTTTATAGACCAAGTGCAAAATCTGCACTGTCGAGTATCCCTAATGTAAATTAATGTGTAACAAAATAAAGTTTCTTAAAATTACACTATATATTTTGTAAGTATTCCAGAGAATTAATGGGTTGTGCTATGGTAAAACTGAGTATTAAAGACATGGTTTATTCTTCCTTAAATATTACTTTTAATTTATTTCATCAAAATTAATGTTGTTAGTTAACCATTCTTGTTATTTACCTGGTAACCTCTGTTGCACCTGGGTTATTAGACTGTAATAAGCACTTAAGTGTATATTTCTAAGAAATATATGTATTTGCTTTTGGATTTAAAATGTGTTTACAGCTCATAAGATACAGTGATTACAGTAGAACTGTGTGGTGCTTCTTGAATCCATTCCCAATCTACTTGGGCTTCTGGTCTCTGCTGAGGTGATGCAAAGCTAATTGGTCTAGGCAGCTCAAGCACTCACAGTCCTGCTGGCACAGCGCGAGAGGTGTCTCCTACCATAAGAGCATGGCGTATGCCCACAGCAGTAGGTCATGCCCAGAGCTCTGCATTTGCTCCCTGGCATGAGGATTGAAAACATCATGGTCCTGTGGTCAGTCTTGGCAATTAAACAGTACAGAAAGGACACAGACATACCCTAGAGCTGCACACCCGTGCTGAGACGGAGTCCACTGTCCCAATGAGCTCCTTCTCCTCTACATTGCCTGCCGCAGGTATAGGTTGCTGGTATAGCATTTATGACAGGAACAGGCTGTACTGCCCTTTGTGCTTACAGATCCTGGGGCTGACAAGGGTGTGAGCACAGAATGCCATCTTTGTGCTTAGAGACATTCAAAAATACATTGATTTTTTTTTAAACACTGATTTATATTTTTTTTTAATCTGAAGTGTATATTGGAAAAATTCTCATGAAAGCTTTTTCAAGACTGACGAAATACCAGCAAGGTTAACTGCCACTAGACAGTTACTGGCTTTGCACAGAAAGGCTCTGAAAAGTTGCTCTCAAGAGTTGAATATCTAATATGCTACCTCTAGACACTGAGTTGGCAGTGGTAATGCAGGTGCCAATGACAGCAGCAGTGAGCTTTTCAGGTGTTTTCAGGTGTTCATGATGTATTACTGCCCCTCTGTTTTGGACTTCACCAAATCAGGTTTGGGGAATACACAACGGTCTGAAATAAAGAGCTAAAAATGGGGAGCTCTGAGGCACGGTGATGGGATTGTTATAAATCCACGTCCAGTCTAGCAAATGAATGACTGTCACCAGTGAGCAATACTATATATACGGCAGAAACTGCAGTAAACTCTGCCTATTACCCCGGGCCAAAATTATCTGCCCAGTCTGTGCTATATTCTACAGAAATAATTTCAAGCGGATTTGCTTCAAGTTCCACACAAATCAGCTACTTACTCATGGTGTGATTTTTTCAGAAGTGCTGAGCATTCATATTTCCTACTGAAGTCAACTGAAATTGCAAGTTTTCAGCACATCTTAAAATCAGGCCATTAACCCTTAATTATCATATAATAGCTCAATTAAAAATCTACCAAGACTTACTTCAGTAGCTAACCAAGCTCCCATGGCTTGCAGACTAGCTATAAAAAAATCCAGTTCTTTAGTGGAGTCTGGGCTCTGGGGACCATTTAAAGCGGTTGCTATTAACCCTGCTATTTAAAGCAAATAATGAAAATGATCACCTGCAAAGGTACCTGCTTCCCTTTTTGCTTTCTTTTCCTTATAATTTTTTTCACTTTTAGAAGAACTACTTTTGCTGTCGTTTTTGTCTTTTTTTTTTTATCGTGCACCAACACTTTATTTCAAATGACAAATACATAGTTCCCATGCTATCGGAGAAAGCATGATACCCAACTTTCAGCAAAACCCACTTATTGCTAAACAAAAAAGCTGCAAAAGAATAATATTCCTCTGTCCTGAAAGGGCACATTACATGACCGCTTGGGAGGTAACTGGTGCTGTTAACGAGGTTCTGTCTCACTTTAATGTAGGGACAAAACCAAGTGAAGCACTTGTGGTCATTCCACATATGCATTTGATACTAAAGGGGAAGGTAAAATAAACTTCTAGCAAAGGTGTGCAGGGATTGTAGGATTTGGGGGCTGATTCAAGCTAGCTGAAACCAGATAAAAGATCCTTAGTGGCTTCTGTGAGCTTCGGACTAGGCATATAGAAAAGAGATGATTTCAGTGCAAGCTAAAAAGAAAACTTTTTTTTTTCTTTGAGCACGCAGAAATGGATTTATTTTTTTTGCCAGCTTTGGAAAGCACAGTACTGTTGTGGTTTACTCATCTATACGAAATAAGAATCTAGCATTAGGGAGAATCTGAAGGTTATTTCAGTTTTGTCCAACTTGTCATCCAACCAGCAGACCTGCTGCTCATAGCTGCCAGCAACCAGATAGCTCAGGCACTTGGGGGATGCCTCAGAAGGACTCTCTATCAGGATTACAAGAACGCTGAAGTAGTTGAGCAGCAACTCTGCCACCTCATGTGCTTTTTTTTTGACATTTTAGGTGGCTTACTTAAAGCCTCAGGTAAAAGGAGTAAGGTAGAGATCTCGTGGGAACAATAAGCTTTATCTATAGAGGAATTATGTGGTGGGGGCGAGTAGGGTGGGGGCATGGTGCAGATTAAACTCCTTTTACCCTCTTACTCCCTGGACTGTCCATCAAAGAAGTGGAAATATTGTCAATATTTTTTCTCTCATCCTCTTTTTTTAATTTTCCTCCAGTGTCTAGTGAAGCTGAATGTGAAACTGAAGCCTATGCTGGACTCTGTGGCAGTAAATAGAGGTAAATGGGAGGAGCTGCACCAAAAAAGACTTCCTTCTCAGGCAGCATCCTCATCCTCCTTTTCCTCTAGCTTTACCATGTCTCTCAAAGACATAAATTAAGCCTGCAAATGTCAGTGTCGCTTTATGATAAGAGCTGTCTGAAAGGTTTTCATAAGCTTTGGCCCACCAATTTTTTTAAGAAATGCTTTTACAGACATGCTTAATTGATTGAATATTATCTTGATGGCAGCGTAGTTTGCTTTTACTGAGATGCTTAGCAGGACTGAAAGGAAGGCCTGTGGTGACATTGCACTGGTATCTGGAGCAACACGGAAGACTTAGCACAAGAAGCATTCATTCAGCTCCACTACATTTCAACTGCTGCTGTAAAAATCTGTAAAGCTGACAACAGACTGAAATATAAGAACTTACAGCTTAATAAAATTAATAATACAGAGCAGAACTGGGATGCAAGCTGGTCAATTTATATGCAAGGAGCTGCAGGAAAACAGAATAGTATGTAATTACGTTGTTGTTTTGCATCTCTTCAGTACATGTTATGAATCAATTATGCCTGCTTTTGTGATGTTCCTCTCTCACTCTTCCCTCCTCTTTTATGCCTGAATGTTCTGAAAAGCCTGCTTTGTATTCTAAAGAAGTATTTTTTTACAACAAAGCTTCTTAGTGATTGATCAGGGCCTTTAGAATTGCCTATCTTTGCTACATTTAAAAACAAACTTTATTATCTTTAAAAACACCAACCTGTCCCTGCTTCCCTGAGAAATTCATATTAACAATGCAGTAAATTTCTCAGCAAAGGGAAGTTTGCATAAAGGCAAAATGTTGCATGGTAATTTTAGAGGGTGGGGTTTTTTCTTTTAAAAAATGCTCTTTTAACACATTCATTTTTTTTAAATTACAGTGTCCCCTAAGGAAAAGATTAATGGGCTTTAATGAAAATAGAATACAAATAAAAAAGGAAATCTGTTGCCTTGTGCTTCAGGTTTATATTACATTGAAAAGCAGACCACGGATAAGCCTTTCTAGTGTAACTTCCAGTTGATATTAATATTTTGAAATGGTGGAGAGAAAGAATATCATCATATTGGACTGACTACCTCTGACTTTTGCGGTTCCTTCAGTACAATTTGAGATGCTGTTATTACAGTTAGCATAGCACTAGTCAAGGCTCACATGTAGACATCTGTGGTAGAGGTGTTCATAAAAATCTAATCAAACATGATAGGTCACAAAACCAAACGTTTCTAGTTCTATGTGATGACACTAGTATTACCTAAGAGTTGGTCTCTTTCCATTAGTGCAAAGATCACTCGCGTAGCAAAACTGAGATCTATGATTTGAGGGTGCTTTGTCTGCTGCACGATCGGACACAAGAGGAGTCATGTTGCAGCGCTTACGAGTTCCCATTCATAGGGAAAAAAAGCCTTTGTACTCCATGGAAAATGGGATTCTAAATATAGGGTTGTCTGGCAGCAGAAATTAAAGCTGAATTCAGCTTAGTTTTACACCTGTGCCAAACTCCATTTACTTCAGTAGGATTACCTTGAACTGGCACCAATTTAATGGAAATCAGAACCTGGCCCAGTTGACCAGATGCTAAAAAGAGCTTTCCTCCTGTCTAAGGAAAGTGAGTCATTAGCACCTTTGAAAAGCTGACTACATCTGTCTGACAGTCAAACAGAAACAACAAATCTGCTGATCATATCTTTAAAAAAAACTACAACAAAACAAAATCCCTCTGTGCTACTAATCATGTGTATAGCAGAACAGCTGGAAATTTCAGTACCATTGCAAGCCAAACTGTTAGTACGCAACTGAACCAACTGAACCACATCACTTTCTCTAGCAGAAAGAAGCAGGGAAGGAGCAGAAGTGCAGACTACACAGCAGTGAATACATGCACCAAATGGAAATGTTTCTGCTATTATTTTACCACCTCTTTCTTCCCTGAATAAAGACAGACGCAGGATAGTAACCAGCAAGCCATACAACTTACACCACCTGCTTTATGGGAGAAACAGATACTAGGAACTGACACAGTACTGCTGGCAGGTACACAAAGCTTTCCTGAATTTTGATACTGCATATTACTAAGTATAACATAATTTATAGCACATACCCTACAGCTTCCCCCAAGGTTGAGTCTCCCCTCATTTCCTCTCCTTTTTATTGGCTTCAGTGCACTGTTGCCAATGGCAACACCCACCGGCAGAGATGGGGATTCAGCACCACCACAACCTGACATACAGCTGAAGCACTAACAATGTCAACCATCAATCAAGTGACTGTTTGTAATTGCCTCCATCTATTTCGCCTGTCTTTCGATATCTTTGCTATTGTGGGTCAAAATTCAGAAACTGCTGACTAATGTTATGGTTCTGCTCCTCCATCACAAGGAAGAAAATGAGAGAGCACGGCTAGATCTTTATCAAATTGTTCTCAGGCAAAATGAAGCAACCCTACTGAAACCAAAGGGGCATAGCAGTGCATCTCGGAACAGCACTGGTTCTCTGAAAGTCATATACCTCAATCTTAAAAAATAAATAAAAATCTTACACTAGGGTTTTTTGGGGTTTTTTTAACACTCAGCATAGAACACGCAAAAGATGTGCATTTTTGAAAGAAAAAGACAATTCTTTGTGGGAGCATGCAGTACAGTAAAGAAACATATTCCAAGTTTCTCATCTTTTAAGATGGTGGAAAACACTTTTTAATTAGTGTTTACAAGCTTGATAGACAGAAATTGTAACTGCTTTTCATTATTTCTGATAGGTAAGTATTTTCCCAGTACTTCAGTCAGTTTTGCCAAACTCTTCTGAGATGTGCACAAGAGAGATGACTGTGTAGGTTATTAAATCATAATTCTCCATCTTTTACTTGTTTCCCTGTCCACTGCACAAGGAGAGATCAAAAAAACCATTGAAATCAGTTTAGTTCTGTGATTGCCTGTAAAACACAGGTCCACAAGAGGTGAGGACAAATTAGAGGGCATGTGGAGAAGAGGACGGAGAACCCTCCGTTTCCCAGGACAGTGCTAGCAAAGCACTGCTTGGCCTTTCCCAAGATGGAACAGACAAGTTTCCCCTCAGTAACAGACAAGTCATTGTTTATTTGCCTCAACTGTTAGTGAAAATTTGGCCTTGAACGTGGGCTCTAGCATTTACAATTCCAGTGCCACAATGTGGTGAGCACATGGACCATCTGTGGGGTCACAGGGGCTTCATTCTCCCTCGAAGTTGCTTCGAGCTGGTTCAACTGCAATGCCTTTTTTCTAGGTGTCCTAGTGACTAGTGGTAACCATAGCCTGAGTTTAGTCAGGTTCCTTGTCTCATAAATTACAGGCCATGAGGTCTCACAGGAGCCAATCAGTGACCCTCACTTTATCAGCAGAAAATGCTCAGGAGAACACCTGGGTCTTCATCTCCATCCTCAAAGATAGTTCAGGCCACACAGGAATTCTACTCAGGATTCCCACCTATGAGAGTGCTTACCAAAACCAACCTTTCTTCACCAAAAAAAAAAAAAAAAGCAAAAAAAACCCCAACCACATAAATGCCCTATCATTGCATACAGCAGTCAGGAAGGAGCCTGGCATTCAAATCCTGCTTGACTTGGAGCAGGCTTTTGAACTGCAGGTGCACCTTCCTCACCAGCCTGCAGGGCTCCTACCCGCCTGCTGAAGCCCTTTACATGTGCTCAGCAAGGAGCCGGGATGCCCATTGGGTACAGGCCAAATTTCTGCTTCATTCCCGGGAGATGCGTAGAGCAGACAGGCATTGGTGGAAGGCTCAGGAGGGGCTCGTACATACGTCCTCTGGATTAAAGCCCTTCCCTGCACCACGACACTGTGACCCACCAGAAAACAAAACACCGTTCAAGGTGAGGCACACCTGGGGTAGAGGGTCTCCTGTGGCTCAGACAGAAGGGTTTCCCACCTCCCAAGAATGAGACATCCAAGAGGTGTCTTTGGCCATAGTTCAAGTAATCAAATCAGACAATTTCCCCTAAAAGTGCCCCATCATTTTGCCTTTCTCCCAGCCTGGAATCTAGAGGCAAAACAGAACTTCTTGATAACATGATCAAGATGTAGACCTCTGCTTCTGTCAGGACATGGTTTTGCTCCTGCTCCACAGCAGACTCACACTCACAAGGTGAGGCGGCAGTAGCTCACAGAAGTTTAAAGTGGATGCTTCATGCGGCAATTAGACACTGAACGCCCCACGCAGCTCTGTCACAACCAGACCCTTGCTGAGAAGGGCATTAATATATTTTGTGCCCTGCAGAAACTAACCGTAGACAAGTACGTTTCATTTTAGCTCAGGTATTCCTTCAGATGGTGTCCTTGGTACAGCAGCTGCATTTTTCTGGACTGGTGACCTTGCTAATTGCTCCTTCTTATTGTGCACTGCGATCTCATAACGTGCCTGTAGTTATCAACAAAGCCAATACTAGTACTCAGAAACTATTTTTAAAAACTGCAACCAGCAGTGCCTGATGTCATTTGTCATTTTTAGACTAATTAGCCTAGTGGAAAAATAGGAGTGTTTCAGTCTACAGGCCAAAAATTTCTTTTCCCTTCATAAAATTAAAATGATTTTTCATTATGGATAGATTGTTTATGCATTGAGTGAAATTTTAGAACAGGTTTATTTCAATATGTGATGCAAAACATGTTAACACACTTGCAATGCTTACAGTGTTCTGGGCAAGAAAATGTAGAGCAAGAAAATTTTTTATTGGCTTTATCAAAGAAACGGAAGATTTTTAAGAGTAAAATCATGTGAATGGTCTCTAACACAATGAAATGGGAGGTATAAATCGGCTGAAATGAGAGAGTCCAGAGATTTCCATCACTTGAATGTGCCAGTATTGGTATACGTACACAATATTGCTTGTTACCTTTTCTTTCTTGGATTACTTTGTATTTAAATACCAATTTATAAGCATGTTGGCCACTGCATCTTACAGTTGTGTGGGGAATACCGTGACAAGCTTTGAACCTTTGCCTATGGGAAGCAACAAACACACGCACAGAAACACTGTGTGTATGTTCTAATGCAAGTGAATCCTACATACTTTCAAGACGTGTAGTTTAATAA